ATACTGCCACCTACAAAAGGATTTAACACTAGCAAACAAAAAAGATATTGTGGATCAGCCCAGAATGACCCTTCCTACTATCAGCATGCCTCAGTTTTCTACCAGACTGTACCAGGAAATGATCATAAACCCAGCGAAGTGAAACCTGTGTCTCTCAATGGACTCCAAGAAAATAATTTTACAGTTGGTAGAAAAATCCTATTTTCATGCTGGTCTATAGAAGGGGAGAATAAGGTATTACTAGCAAGACATGCAAAGCAGTTAAACTGAGGGGTGGGAATACAACAGCTAACATGCCACTGAAAAACAACAGAGATTTGTGGACTGCCTGCAGCTCAGATAGTCTCCTGAAGAAAAGTGGGGACTGCCTGCAGCTCAGATAGTCTCCTGAAGAAAAGCATGCCCTAGGTCTGCCTCTGATGTGGCCTGAATCTAGTAGAATGAGTCTTGACAAGAAAAGTAGTAATCCGATTCTAGAGACTATAGGCTTGAATAGTGGTCAGCCTAAGATACTAAGAGAAGATGTAATGAGAAGCAGGGGCACCTTTGCAGGGACCATTGGGAATGAAAAACAGAATTATTTTTCTCTAAATTAACTAGTGACAAAGAGATAAATTCTCACAGCCCAAACTACATTCAGGCAATGGAGGAAAATCTCCTCCTGATAAACTGGAGCTGGACAAACAGAAGGAAGAACAATATCCTGATTGAGGTAAAAGGCCCAAGCTACCTTTGGTAGAAAGAAAGCACTGGGCCTCAACCATCTTTGTCCTTGTGTAAAATCAAAAAAGGTCTTTTACAGGATAAGGCTGCTAGCTCAGACACTACCAAGCCATATGAATGATTTAAATCACAGAATAAATTCTAGCAACTTGTGACCTTTGCTTTATGTTTTACAGTTATGCAGGACAATCCTGCCTCAGGAAAGATTTAAAATGTCATGAAAATGGATAATTTGCTTGTTATATGCTAGAAAGTAAATAAACTTTGGGTAACCTGCATGCTAAAGTTACTTTGTCTTGAGAATAGAGGCTGCATATGCTGGCTCTCTTTTGAAGATACTCTGCCTGGTTGTTTCTGGCTTCACTACTTTTCAGTCACAGACCAATAAAAAGCATGTTGTAAATAAGTGTCAGAAAAATGTTTGAATTTTGAGAAAGGTGATGGCTGTAAAGAACACTGTCTCATGTGTAAGAGTGGACAGGAGAACATCTCTAATGGGTTCAAAGGATAGATATTGAAGTGCCAAAAGAAAAATCTTCAGAATCCAAGGAGCAACAAGGAAACAGGGGGAGTCACGTGGGAAACACCCTGAAAAAAGGTCTAAATTGAAGGCTGGAAAGCTAGTGGTCTCTAAAACAAGACAGCCAGAGCAGAGACCTGACCCTTAATAATTAGATTGTAAGCTCTAACGAGCAGGGCCCTCTGTTTCCTCTTGTACCAAACTGAATTGTAATTGTAATGTCTACCTTCATTTTGTAAAGTGCTGAGCAAACTGTTGGCGCTATATAAATCCTGTATTATAATAATAATGCTGAGGGCCAAATGTTGGTCGAAACCCAGCTATAGGAATAAGCGGATTTGCCCCAAGGAAAAGCTTCCTAGGGTAAAAGCCTTGCACCTCACACATTGAGTAAAAGACCTTACTACAAGCAGACTTCCTAGCTTTAAGCATTGTGGGAATTACCAGTTTATAGATGCCCCTGTATTTCAAAACCTGGGCTTCAACAGCTATGTAGGTAAAGCCAGCAACCATGAAGAAGGATGGCAAGTCAGCCCTTGGCAAGACAGAATATCCTGTCAATATAGAAGAGCCTATTGACTGCTCACCAACAGTCTGACCAGGTCTGAGTACCACATCCATCTGGGTCAATCTTGAGCAATAAGGATCACTGAAAGATCATAAGTCTAAATCATGTGAATCAGATGAGGAATACGTTTCAAGAGAGAACTGATAGACATAAAGTTGAACTGATCCTATGGAACCACCAGAGCATCCATTGCATCCACTAGATGATCCCTGTACCTGGAAAAGCTGTCCAGTATGCTGTTGAACCTGGAGGCCAGGAGGCTCATATCCAGAGTCCCCTACCCATGACAAAGATGTAGAGACCAATCTGTTTGTTCTAGGCACTCTTAGCTGAGAAAGTCTGTAAGCCAATTGTGCACAACTGGGATGTAAATGGCAGACAAGGCTGGAATGTTCAGGATCTTATCTGATCTACTTCTCATGTTGCTATGAGACTTTTTGTTCCTCAGTCATGGTAATCCATACTGTCTGAATCCAAATCAAATGACCTTCTAGCTGGTCGGTCCAGCACTGCAGAAACAGCCAAATAGCCTGAAACTCAAAGATGTTGGTCTGGAGATGAGAATTCTCCAAATATCCAAGCATCGTGTATGCAAATTATTCCCAGAACTCCTTCACAGCCAAACATGCTGTAATGTTTTTTAACCACTTCAAAACTGGGCCCTTTCACCCCTTCCTGGCCAGGCTAAATTTCAGCTTTCAGTGCGGTCTCACTTTGAATGACAAATGCACGATTATGCAACACTGTACCATATGCATTTTTTTATATTTTTTTTTTTCACACACGTAGAACCTTCTTTTGGTGGTGTTTAATCAGCACTGGGTTTTTTATCTTCTGTTATATAAATGAAAAAAGTCTAAACATTTTGATGGAAAAAAAAAAAAAAAAAAAAAGCGTTTTTTTCGTTACTGTTATAACTTCATAATTTTAAGCCAAAATGTATCATACATTTCTTTTGGGAAAATAACCCAAATCAATATTTATTATTTCATCTATAGGAAAGCATAGAATGCACACACTATGGTATATATCTGAAAATTGATCTTCCCTGATGTACTTACGGCCTATCTCATTTCTTGAGGTCCAAAAATGTCAGGACAGTACAAAATATCCCCCAAATAAATGACCCCTTTTTTGAAAGTATACAGTCCAAGGTATTTAGTAAGGGGCATGGTGAGTTTTCTGAAGTTGTAACTTTTTTTGTCATACTTTTTTGGAAAATGAAGAACTTAAAATTTTCACTATTATACATTTTCACTGTTATCAGTGCAGTACAGCATCATCATGTAACTGGTCTGGCAGTGATCAGGAACACTGACTGGTGACAGTATGAAAAGAAAAAATGAAATCGATTCATTCAGTTTGTATTGTTGTGATTAGCCGCAGCTAATCACAAGATACACATGAGCTGTAATTAGCCCTGCCTGTACCATGTGATCACTGTGACCAATCACAGCTAGCAATACAATTGTACACAATGAATGGCATAAATTGAAGCCATTCATTGTTTACAATTGTCATGTGATTTCCTGTAATTGGTCACAGAGATCACATGGTACTGGCAACGGCCCAGTACAGTGATCTGTCATCGGCTGTGTCTGGGGTACACAGCTAGTGACAGATCATGCCACAGAGTGGCTCAACGAGAGGCGTGCTCCGGGAGGACGCCATATGACGTCCACCTGGAATAACTAAACTCCCGCTCTGGTCCTCAGTGCTAGATGAATCCACGTGTCCAGAGACTGGACTGACTTGTCCGATGATAAAGAAAGGTTGTGTTGCAGGGTTTGAACTGAAACTGGCCTGCGTCAAAGGAGACCAAATCAAACCTAGAACTCTCATGCAAAAGCAAAAGGTCACAAGATTCCTAGACCAAAAAGTATGTGTCTGTGTCTCCTGCAGAAGAAAAACTCTGGCTTCAGTTGTGTTTAGGACTAGACCCAGCAATTAGTCATTTCAGCTCTCCCTGTAGGTTCACAATCCATCTGAACCTCTGCACAGTCTGGACAGTCAGAACTATGCTGTCTGCCAGAACCTGTGCTAACTGCTTACTTATTAGGAGGTCATCTAAGTATAACACAATGGGAATGTCCAAAAGCACAGTAAAACCAGTACTAAGGCCAGCACCTTGGTGAAACCACTGAAGTGCATTGGAAAAAGCGAATAGCAGGGTCACAAACTGAAAGTGCAGAGGACCCACAGCAAAGTGTAGGAAATGCTGATGCACTGCAAAGATGGGGACATGCAGGGCCCTCTGATCCCTCCTGTAATAATTTGTATTGTAATTGTACTGTCTGCCCTTATGTTGTAAAGTGCTGCACCAGTGTTGGTGCTATATAAATCCTGAATAATAATAATCATATTAATATTAATGTAGGTGTGCAGAATTCAGTCTGGTGACCACTGTCACTGAAAAAAAAATGTGAGGAATCAAAAATTTGACAGCTGTCACTGTTTTTTTGTTTTTGTGGCACAGGAATCTAGAGGAACTCTCCCCTTTGACGATACAGATAGCAGTAGAAAGCAGGCAAAGGTTCTACTCAAAATCCCCAATTCCATTGTAAATGTTTTTGATTTTCAAAATCTGAATTAAATTATATTATTAGGTCATAACTGATAATTATTTTGTACACTTTATTTTTCTGTAAACACAAAAAGTTAAAAAACTATTTACCAAATGCCAAAAGGTTTGAAAGTTTAGGATCAATCGCAAATAAGGGTTTGTTTACCCTGCATTAGATGGAGACCCAAAGCTAATGCAGCATCCTTTCAGGTGCACATATTTGTGTGAAATGCTTTTGAGCTGCTTTGGCTTGCTTTCTATGTATTCATGTTGACTTGTTAGGGGGTGGAAAAGCAGTTCAAAGAAGCAAAAAAGGACATGGAGCACTTTATAAAAACACAATAATGTGAGACAAAGTCAATGCAGCAATAAACACAAGATAACATTGCTCTATCAGATCCAAAGTCAAAGACTACATTCCAAGTCCTTTCAAATTGCCACCAAAGCAGAAAACCCTCCTGTAAGCATGCCCTAAAAGGCTCCTATTTTTGCTTTGGTAGAATTGCTTGCTATCGCAACCTTATGCAGGAGGAACAAAAGCACAACTGAACTCTAGACGTTAAAAAAAACTTTGAAAAATTGTTGGCTGCTCACAATAAGCAGCTAAGAACACAAGTTTACCTCTGTCTGCATATATCTCGGATAGTTGCGGCTTTTGCAACAGTTTTCTCCCACTGGGTCTCTTTGCCAATTGATAAACACTGGGAATCAGCAACTGCAATTAGCTTCTGGAGCTCTGGATAGACTCTGTCCTGGAACAAAATTTGCAGACTAGATTACTTAATGTCTCAGAAAATGTATATCAGCCCACATAAAACTTATTCTGCCTTCAGTTTTCTCATCACTTTATGAGAGACCGGAAGAGAGAATAATAGCAACACAGATTGCTTGAGGCAGTCATCTCAGATAATGATGTGATCAAGAAACTGCTACCAAAAACTACAATTCCATGAACATTTACATTATTTTATCCCAAATTGTTAATTACACAAAACAATTTTTAGGTTACAACGTAGTATTGTGTTGCATCTGGTTGATTTTAAACTAAATTGGCCTGGACAGGAAGGGGGTAAAAGTGTACGGACTGGAAGTGGTTAAAGGGATCTCTGGCCAGCTGGATCCTGTATCTTCCTGTGAGCTCCTGACAGCACCACCTTACCTAGAGGGAGGATTATCCTGGATTAGGATCATATCCAAATCCTAAAGGGGACCTCTACAGATTCATATAATGTACATATACATTATGCATCTGGTGAGTGCGTAATTTTACCACACTATTTGGAGCACCAATATTGGATTCTACTGCTAATTCGCACCCAGATCTGCACAGACTGTCACCTTTTAATTTGATTGATTCTTGGCATATAATTTTAACCTGTTTATATGTTTACGGACATTATCAATATATTTATGAATTTAGTGCTGCACCTATTTATTTAGTATGATTTTCTGAAGGTTTTTATTGGTTGCCTTTGGTGCTTTAGCTGCTGATTAGAGAGCACTCATTTTCCATTGTATTTTTATTGAAGTGAGAATATGACTGATTTGATGTATTAAAAGTTAGCATTGACTTAATAGACTGTATGCAAAAATGGACTCAGTAGGATTTCAATATATTTCAAAGTGGCTCTGCTGGTTTTCTACCTGTATACTATACTTAGTGCTCCCAGGTTCCAGATGCCAGATTACACATTTCAGGCAGTCATGCCCTCCCTTATCACATGCAGTCCCTGACTCACTATCCAGGAGTGCTTGGACTGGCTTTGTAATATTAGCCATCACAGGCTCTACATACAGGTACGTGGTGACACTGACCTGCCAATCTCTGTAAGCAGTGTGCTTTTTTCAAGAGATGGCAAGGAGTAAGCACATTACTTGCAAAGGAGCCAAAAGTTCAACCTTATGGATGCAAAAAAAGATTTTTTTAAAAAACCATAAGCAATATTTCACATTGTTGATAACATCCCACCTGATAAACTGTATATGTGTGTTTGGGTCTGTTTGTGTATATATATATGTGTATATATACAGTCAGGTCCAGAAATATTGGGACATCGACACAATTCTAACATTTTTGGCTCTATACACCACCGCAATGGACTTGAAATGAAACGAACAAGATGTGCTTTAACTGCAGACTGTCAGCTTTAATTTGAGGGTATTTGCATCCAAATCAGGTGAACGGTGTAGGAATTACAACAGTTTGCATATGTGCCTCCCACTTGTTAAGGGACCAAAAGTAATGGGACAGAATGATAATCATAAATCAAACTTTCACTTTTTAATACTTGGTTGCAAATCATTTGCAGTCAATTACAGCCTGAAGTCTGGAAAGCATAGACATCACCAGACGCTGGGTTTCATCCCTGGTGATGCTCTGCCAGGCCTCTACTGCAACGGTCTTCAGTTCCTGCTTGTTCTTGGGGCATTTTCCCTTCAGTTTTGTCTTCAGCAAGTGAAATGCATGCTCAATCGGATTCAGGTCAGGTGATTGACTTGGCCATTGCATAACATTCCACTTCTTTCCCTTAAAAAACTCTTTGGTTGCTTTTGCAGTATGCTTTGGGTCATTGTCCATCTGCACTGTGAAGCGGAGTCCAATGAGTTCTGAAGCATTTGGCTGAATATGAGCAGATAATATTCCCGAAACACTTCAGAATTCATCCGGCTGCTTTTGACAGCAGTCACATCATCAATAAATACAAGAGAACCAGTTCCATTGGCAGCCATACATGCCCACGCCATGACACTACCACCACCATGCTTCACTGATGAGGTGGTATGCTTTGGATCATGAGCAGTTCCTTTCCTTCTCCATACTCTTCTCTTCCCATCACTCTGGTACAAGTTGATCTTGGTCTCATCTGTCCATAGGATGTCGTTCCAGAACTGTGAAGGCTTTTTTAGATGTCGTTTGGCAAACTCTAATCTGGCCTTCCTGTTTTTGAGGCTCACCAATTGTTTACATCTTGTGGTGAACCCTCTGTATTCACTCTGGTGAAGTCTTCTCTTGATTGTTGACTTTGACACACATACACCTACCTCCTGGAGAGTGTTCTTGATCTGGCCAACTGTTGTGAAGGGTGTTTTCTTCACCAGGGAAAGAATTCTTCGGTCATCCACCACAGTTGTTTTCCGTGGTCTTCTGGTGTTGCTGAGCTCACCGATGCATTCCTTCTTTTTAAGAATGTTCTAAACAGTTGTTTTGGCCACGCCTAATGTTTTTGCAATCTCTCTGATGGATTTGTTTTGTTTTTTCAGCCTAATGATGGCTTGCTTCACTGATAGTGACAGCTCTTTGGATCTCATCTTGAGAGTTGACAGCAACAGATTCCAAATGCAAATAGCACACTTGAAATGAACTCTGGACCTTTTATCTGCTCATTGTAATTGGGATAATGAGGGAATAACACACACCTGGCCATGGAACAGCTGAGAAGCCAATTGTCCCATTACTTTTGGTCCCTTAACAGTGCACATATGCAAACTGTTGTAATTCCTACACCGTTCACCTGATTTGGATGCAAATACCCTCAAATTAAAGCTGACAGTCTGCAGTAAAGCACATCTTGTTCGTTTCATTTCAAATCCATTGTGGTGGTATATAGAGCCAAAAATGTTAGAATTCTGTTGATGTCCCAATATTTATGGACCTGACTGTATATATATATATAAATATATATATATATATGTATATAGTAATTAAATAAAATGTGATCTGATCCTCATCTAAGTCACAATAGACAAACACAATGTTCTTAAAGGAATTGGTTCACCTTTGTGAACATGTCACCCCCATATTTAGGGTGCAGCATGTGACATATTCAGCATCTGCCTGCTCTGATTACCATCAGCCTTTACAAGCTAACTACTTGTAGTTCTCAATGAACTACCAGGGCACTGATGAGCGCTCTAGCTAGTTAATTGATCTTCCAACCATTCAGTAACTGCCTGCACGTATCAGAGGTATGGGCAGACAACAACACAGACAGTCTGCAGGAGCCTGACACTGCACCTGTGATCTGCTGATCACAGGTGCAATGCTTTACAAGCTCCTAAAAAAATAAAACAAATATATAAATGCACATTTTGTTTACCTGCAAAAAATGTACATTTATTTTTTTTTCTTTCAAAGGTGAACTTATCCTTTAAGCTGATGACACACAAACTATACTCATCTCTTGTTTCTTTACTGAACACGCTCATTAAACATCCACAGTGCTGGAGGAAAAGTAAGTGAACCCTTGGAGTTAATAGCTGGTCCTTTGGCAGCAATTACTTCAAGCAAGTATTTTTGGCAGCTCTGGATCAGACCAGCACAATGTTCAGAAGGAATTTTTGACCATTCCTCTTTACAAAACTGCTTTGGTTCAGACACATCTGTAGAATGGTGTGAATGGCTCTCTTGAGGTCATTCCACAGCATCTCTATGGGTTTAAGGTCTGGGCTCTGATTGGGCCACACAAAAAAACACATTTTCTTCTTCTGAAGCCAGAATGTGGTGTATTTTCTTTGATTCTAAGGGTCATTGTCCTGCTGCAATCACCCAGTGGCTATTAAGCTTCAACTGGTGGACAGCCAACCTGACATTATCCCGTAGGATATTTTGGTAACCTTGGGAATTTGTTTTCCCCTTGATGATGGCATGTAGTCCAGGCCATCATCAAGGCAGGGAAGTAGGCCTAAATCATGATGTTCCCTCCACCATACCTCAACGTTGGGATGATGTGTTGATGTTGGTAAGCTGTGCCCTTTTTGTGCCATACATAGTGCTGAGTATTCTTCATAAACAATTCAACTTTTGTTTCATCAATTCACAAAACATTTTCCCAATAGTGTTGTGGTTTGCCAAGGTGCTCTTTGTCAAACTTCAGGCATGCAGCAATGTTTTTATGGAGAACAATGGCTTCCTCTGTGATGTTCTGCCATGGACACCCTATCTTTTCATACTTATGTATGGTAGGACTCATGAACAGGGATATTTGCTAGCCAGTGATGTCTTTAAGCCTTTACCGGTTTTCTCATGGGTTCTTCTTTAACTCATTGAGGATTCTGCTTTGCGCCATGGGAGTTATCTTGGCTGGGCACCAACCTTTAGGAAAAGGTAGCCACAGTACTAAACTGTCTCCATTTATAGACAATTTGTCTGTGAACTGATGGATGTTTAAAACACTTTGAGATTACATTGTATCCCTTTCTGGCCTTATGCAGGTCAACTACTCTTGATCGTATATCTTCAAGGAGCTTCTTTCAGCGAGGCATGGTTCGCATCAACTGATGTTTCTTATGAACAGTTATCCTAAAAAATTTGAGTGTTTTTTTACCAATCAGAGAAGCTCTAAACCACACATCCAAACACATCATTAACTGGACTTCAGATGTGCAAGATACTTACTCCAATCACCTTTCGTTAAAGTAATTAGTCTGTGGGTCACTTATGTTTTCCTCCAGCACTGAATTTTTAATGGGTATATTCAATAAAGAACACACGAAATTAGAATTGATTGTGTGTTATCAGCTTAAGCACATCATATTTGTCTATTATGGCTTTGATAAAGATAAGAACACACATTTTATGTTAAATCGTTTGTCCAACATTTCTCCCCAGGATTGCAAAATTTGTCTGAAATTTTCAGAGTTTTGCTTTTCTTTTAACCAAGTTTTATACATTAGCCAAGTTGTACATTGTGGAGCCCCACAGCTAACCATTTATGCTAGAACAGTACATTGAGAAAGAAGAAAAGTAAAGATGACTGATCACATGTTGGATAGGTCCAACCAGAATGAATAAATGGCACAGAATATTAGCATAATCAAAAAGGATTTACTATCAGTACTACAATTTGCCTAATGTGTAAGTTGGTTAGTAAAATGTACAATAATAAAAATAAACATATTAATGAATGTTTCAGCTTCCATAATGAACATTGGCATACTCCTAATACCTGTTTCTCCCACAAAGATGTCATAAGGCGCATGACAATTGGTTGAAGCTTTGATGTGCTGCCAATCATCTGCAAGGATCGAAGGATCTGAGGCACACATACCTATGGGTTAAGAATGATACTGTATTATTATTCCATCTCAATTTGGAATGTCAATTTTTTGTGATAATTTAGGTTCATTTTATAAACCATTTGCATAACTATTGTTACAAGATTTACTTTGCGCCCCATTTGTTTTATTCTTCCACTTTTTTTTCTTTTTAAGAAAAACTGCTTGCCACGTTTTGAATCTGCAAGATTTGACCCATTCAGTCTCCCAAATATAAAGTAAATACAAATGAATGTCTTTGTGTTCTTAATAAGGTAGATTTTTTTTAATCAAAAGTAACTAAACCATGGCAACAGTGGTTGGCAGTTTCTTTTTTTTAATCTTGTATCTATGATATTTTTAGGAGAATATGATATAAATAAAGACCATACAGATGACAACTGGTATGAACCACCATATGAGAGATAACAATAGCATGCACATGTAACATTTCACAAATGAAATAGTCAGTTCTACGTGGTGGTTGGATTATTAGGCATCTTACTATTTAAATAATTGTGGGTCTCTGATATTTTGGAAGATCAAGGTCGTTGTGAAATGGCAAAGCTGTGGTATCATATCAGGGAGAGTGCTAGGGCCAGCTTTCAAGGGTCCATATAGCTAAATAGACCTAAGGTCCCACTGGGGTGAGTGGTAATAGGAAAACAGAGTTATTTGGGGAGGGAGGGCATGGGACAGATGTTGCTTAAAAACTATCACAAAGTTAGACTGGTATTTATGGATTTTGACAGCTAGGTCAGAAACCTGGATGGAGGAATGTGATATCTTTTAAATGGGGAGTTTTACATGCTCATTTTGGGAACACACTAAATCGCTCTAAGAATTATTATTTGATGCCCTAATCCCTCAAGATCCACTACACTACCTTCTAGGGGTGACCCTGACATGTTTCAGCCTCACTCTAACCCTATATCTAGTGATGTACCATCTGCTCTCATTGTATTGTATAACCCCTCTAGCTGCCCCCCCCCCCCCCAATTCTCTCCTCCCTATGTCTTCCTTTCTTTATTGTTCTCGATCTTATCTTCCCTGTTCTACTATTCCTCTTTTTAAGTTGTAATTATATGGGTTCTGTTAAGGCGGACATCAGTTATTTGCCTACACTTATGCTCCAGCGTTGGAGAATATATTGTACTCTCTATATAACCTAGTATTACGCCTGTGAAATGTTTAACCTAAATGTTATTTGGTTAATTATACTTGAGTTTATTTTTGCCAATGTGCTAAAGTTTGGACTTCTGCTTTATGGTGTCCTTTCTAATCTGATACGAAAGCTCTACACTGTTACTGAAATAATAGTTTATTGTGCATCCATATCCACTATAACAAATTACATTTGTATTATCTTTTAAAATCTTTCATTAAACAGAACTTTCCCTGCAGCAGCTGGTGCTGCTGTATTTCATATAGATCAGAAGCAGAGACTCTTAGGTAAGTGTGCCTGTATTCTAATACCGTAACTGTTTCTCTATCCTAATGTTATTTTCTATTACATGTACATTGCCAGATAACTAGATCTGTGCTACTGATGTGTGTAAATTTCATCTTGTATTAGGTGAACCTCTTTTTTTAAATTGGAATTTACATATAGCTTATGTTACATAGTTAAATGCTCAGGGTGTTTCAAAATGATTTCCATATTGAGGAAATAGGCTTTGTTGTCTCTGTGCACCCTGCTTGAGTTTATAGAGAAAATGCTTAAGAATATTTTTTGGAGCTGATAATCTATCACCATTACTTTCAGAAGAGAGAGAACATAGAGTTCCAGCCATTATGTACTCAACCGTCAAGACTGAGGTTGGATGATTTGCCAAAGAGCCAGCAGTGGATATCTGTGGTGTTCAATTTTTTACTTGTCCTCCCCTACAGTTATTATGGACAAGCACTGTTCTAGATCAGGATAATATTTCCAGTACCAATGTGCCTTAATGATAGGACATATGTGTGATCATTTTATGAAAAATATTGTGGATTACAGATTTCTGGCATCTGATCACCTTTATGTCAATATCCTCCAATACCTGAAAAGACAACTTTCTGCGCAATTACATACCATCAACACATACAGAGTTCCCCCTGCTCAGACAATCCCTTTTTTCTATACTTACAGTTGAGGTACATGTTGCACACCCAAATACCCACTCTTTTCAACACTTGCTTACTGTTCATTTTAATGGTTGTTTAAGTGGGAGAATCCAGAAAAGGGCTTAATTGCCAAGATCCATGAAGCTTTACTCACAGCTTGTCAACCCAGCCTGACCATCACTTTTGAGGCAGAATGGAGAAGGGACTTGGACTCTCTCAGTAGATAAATGTATGGATACTTTGGAGACCAATCCCTTCAGTTCCTTATCTCCATCTCAAAGGTTTATGTATTTATTTTTCATAGCGTTTACCATACCCTGCTAAAAATATTTAAATGGAGACGTACAATGTTTCCCATCTTCCCAAGATGTGATGTGACAGTGACAAGGAACAGGAATTGTTGTGGAGATAGCTAAAACCTTAAGTATTGGAAAGATACTCAAGCAATTCATTCACTGTTCTCCATCTCCTTACCAGCCAATCTCAAGATAGATATCTTCAGGCATACTGCCTGAAAACAAAGTCTCAGAACAAATTCCCACACTAGAATAATATTTATTGCCTGGACATAAGTTGCCCAAAAATGGCTGTATCACAAGCCACTTACATTTGATTACAGAAAAACCTCAATCAACTCATACCAGCACAGGGGGTATGCTCAAAATTTCTATAAATCTGGTCAAAATGGCAGGACTAGCCTGCTCTAGATCTTCCTAGTGATCCTGAATCACCTCCTTAGTGGGACTACTTAAATAAAATTTAGACTGAGTTGCCTGATAATGAACCACTTTATGTAAATGCAGGATACCAACCTTTTCTACTTTTCAAATACCTATTGTACAAATTTAGCTACATACATAGCTGATACCCTTTCTCATTATCTATTAGTCAATCACTCTTTTAAGTGCTGAGTCATTGCCACTCATTTCAAGAACAAGATCAACACAATTCGTGATGAGATCTCCATTGTCAAGCTTCCTCCTCCAACCAACATACCAGGCCCAACACTACGCTCAACACTCTCCTCCTTCGACCCAGTTACCACCAAGGAAGTTACCCAACTCCTTTCCAAGGCTGACTTCACCACCTGTCCCCTCACAATTATTGCAGCCTCCTTCCTGCTTTATACTAAACTCTCTAACCTACATCTTCCCCCTCTCACTCTCCATGGGCACCTTTCCCTCCCTGCTCAAACATGTCACCCCCATACTTAAAAAACCCTCGCTGGACCCCACCTGTTTGAATAACTTAAGACCTATCTCCCTGCTGTCGTTTGCCTCCAAAGCTTCTCGAGTGCCTTGTTCACAGCCGTATGAACTGCTACCTCACCAACAACCTTCTTGATCCTCTACAGTCTGGTTTCAGCCCACAACATTCCACTGAAACTGTCCTACTAAAACTCACTAACGACCTGCTAACTGCTAAAATCAATGGCCATTACTCCACATCATACTCTTAGATCTTTCCGCTGCCTTTGACACAGTCGACCACCTGCTCCTCCTCAGTAAACTTCACTCCATTGGCCTCCGTGACTCTGCTCTCTCCTCTTACCCTTCTAAGCACACTTTCAGTGTCACATACAACTCCTCCTCCACTCCTCTCCCTCTTTCCGTTGGGGTACCCAAAGGCTCTGTCCTTGGGCCCCTCCTTTTCTCTCTCTACACCTCCTCCCTGGGCCAATTTATAACCTCTCATGACTTCCTATACCACCTCTATGCTGATGACACCCAGATCTATCTCTCCACTCCCCAGCTCACCCCCTTAATCTCCTCACGTATCACAAATTTACTAAGTGACATATCAGCATGTATGTCACACCACTACCTTAAACTCAATCTTACCAAAACCGAGCTTGTAATATTTCCTCCTCCCTGATCCTCCACTCATGAATATACCATTAAGATCAACAGCACAACCATTGCTCCTTCCCCTCATGCCAGGGAGCAAGGTGTAATCTTAGACTTTGACCTCTCCTTTGGGCCCCACATCCAATCACTGGCTAAATCCTGAAACCTCAACCTCTGGAACATTTCCAAAATCTGCGCCTTTCAAGACATCTTGCTCTCTAGCTCCCTCGTCACCTCCTCCCACACTCGCCTCCAAGACTTCTCCAGAGTCTCTCCCATCCTCTGAAACTCCCTACTGCAGTATGTCTGGTCAGCCCTCACCCTGTCTGCCTTTAGGCGATCTTTGAAAACTCACTTATTCAAGGAAGCCTACCCTACCTCCACCTAAGAACTGTGCTTGAGCCACCTCCATCAAACATCGCCTACAGCTGTCACCTTTTGTACCACCTCCTCCTTCCTTTAGATTGTAAGCTCCACAAGCAGGGCCCTCCTATTCCTTCTGCACTGAAATGTATTGTAATTGTACTGTCTCCCTTATATTGTAAAGTGCTGTGCAAATTGTTGGTGTTATATAAATCCTGTATAATAATAATAATCTCTCAGTGGCCCTTGCAACTGGAGTTGCTGCAACTTTCATCCAGAGGTATCTTTGCTAAATAACTGTATATACCCAGATATATGTGCGCAATTCCAACAGGACTCCTATCAGGTTAATTTGCAGTGTTTTATGTTTTTGTATATATTATTATTACTAATATTTTATTATATAAAGTTTGTATTCCTTCCATGCTGCTGTGTATCTACTTGTGGTTATTGTTATACAGTATGCTAGGTCCAGTAGCTCCTCTGTTCCTAATTACTTTGCTTAGGTTACTGGTTTATTTCGCAGGAAGGGAATCTCCTCCACTCACAAAGGCCCTGTCCTGGATAGAGGCATTGCCAAATATATTATCAAACCAACTCTTCCACTGAGCGAAGGCTCTAATTACCTACAGGTTTAGAGCCATATCCTGCTTGGAGAAGATAATTTCCTTAAAGCCCCAACTTCAAAACAGGGCAATACTATATTAAGCTATGAACAAATGTACAAGGTGGTTCATTTACCTTGCTGCAAGGTGTGTTTATACAAAAAAAAATTTTACCAAAGGTACCTCAGATACACCTCTGTTTTTAACTAGGAAATGCATAAAGAGTACTTATTCACACTCCAGACTCAGAAAGCATTATGTTTATGTCCTGACCTATCTTAGTCTTGGGGTCGAGCCAGAGTCATGATAGATTGAGATATGTTCCATGACCTGCAGTAGGATTCCCAATTCAACCATCCGGGGATTGTTTTCATATATTCCATATATGAAAAGCTGCTAAAAGTACTCAATCGACCAATCAAGTTTTTAAGATCTTGCCACTCATGAGATGATCATCTTGCCACTCCATCAGAGAGCTATTTAGTTTAATGACTTGGACATCCTATTTTGGCGATTATCTCCAGTTTTTAAAGGGGACTCCTTCCCACCACACCACCATCCAATATTTATGCGCGACTCCTTTGGGGTGCCCACTGCCCCGTCTTATTTGTCTCATTGAGCTTCCTTTTTTGGCTCGATCATGTAATGCAGAGAACCATCAGTATAGTGCTTCTCCCTCTTTTTGAACCCCTGAAGAAGCCCATCTGGTGAAACGCATTTGTATTTATCACTTTCCTAAATCTCTACATGTCTACCAAGATTATAGTCCTTCTATATCATCTCTTTAAATAAGGAAGTTGGATTGGGGTCTACTGTACTGAAGGGTTATGATATTATTAATTGTTTTTATGGAAAGATGATTTTTGTTTTTATATAATTTTTGTAATAAAATTTAATATTTTTATATCTGTGTGTTTGAGTGTACTATCCTGAGGGAAATATAGCACCTTTATAGTCCCATATACTTTTTCTTCGTTTTGGAATACTCAATCAGGGACGTGGTGCAGATGGATCAACTATACCTAATAAAAAACATATAAACAGTAATGACATAGTCACCTTGTGTGTCCCCAGCGTAGGAAGAGTGTACAAAATTTCTCGCAATAGCTTAGGCTCCAATGGGTGTCCAAGTCTAAACATCAAAACTGGCACCAAGTAAGGAACCTAGAATTAAGCATAATAAATTAGAAACCCAGAGTACTGCACTACTAATGAAGAAAATAAAAAAAACATGAAAAAAGAGGATGTGTAGATTGTTAAATGCTAGCCATATCATGTATAATTTAAAAGAACAAACATTTCTTAAAAGTGATTGTGTCTTTGAAACACATAGGAAAGAGTGGTATCTATATTTGGCTGCTGATTACCAACACAGCTAAAATTTACAATTTTTTAATTTTTTAATTTTTTTTTTTAAATAAGGCTGCGGTGTAGGTTACACCTGGGGCATAGATAGGGTGGTCAGAGTTGGTTCAACATTTCCTCAGACCATCCTCATAAAAATCAACTGCAGGGTGTCCCTGCTCTGCTGCTGGCTGCATGTGGCACCAGTGACAAGTAGCACAGCAGAGCAGTCAGCTGCAAAGTGTAGCAATGTAATAATGCAGATGCAGCAAGCACGAGTTGATCCACACATGCCATTTTAAATGGCTACGCTGTCCGGCTTAGGCTGAGGCTGACACAAAGATCCCTATAACCACCAGGCTGCACGGTGACCAAGCACAGCAGGAGCAGTCGGAGCCTGTCCCTCTAACCGTTTTTTCTGCACTCCTGTATTGCCATTGGCTTGCAGGGCGCTTCCCGCCTTGGGGGGAGGACCTTTGCCTGGGCCCTGAAGAGCTGAACACTGTGTAGCTGCCGGTCCACGACGTAGATGAACTGCTGCTCTCCGACACCAGGTGGTGCTCTATGTAAGGAGTGGGCTCTGGGGACACTAATGTAAAGTGGGGATGACTCAGGGGATCCTAAATAAGGAAAGGGGCTTTGGAGACACTGATGTAAGGAGAGGGAGCTCTTAAGACACTGATGTAAAGAAGAGGGCTCTGGAGACCCCGATGTAAAGGGGGGGTGTCTGGGGACCCTGATGCAAAGAGGGGGGCTCTGGGGACCTTGATGTAAGGGGGTGTCACTGGGGACTCCAATGTAAGGAGGGGGCTTTGAGGACCCAGGTGTAGAGGGGGAACTCTGAGGATCACGATGTATAGAGGAAGGCCCAGAGAATCTTGATGTAAAAGGGGTGTTCCTGGGACCCTGATATAAGGAGAGGTGCTCTGGGAACCCTGATGTAAAGTGGGGGTGACTATGGGGTTCTGATGTAAAGAAGGGGGCTCTGGGGGCCCTGATGTAAGGCAGGGGTGATTCTGGGGACCCTGACTAAGAGTGTGACTCTGATGTAAGGTAAGGAGAATTCTGATGGGGATTCATAATGTAAGAGGGGAATCTGATGTGAACAGGTGGGCTCATCTTGGATTCTGCACTCTATATTTTGTTTTGTATGTTAGTTATCTTGGCCCCTGCACTCTATACATTTTGTTAAATAGTCCTGACCAAAGTGTTAATTGTCTCAACAGTAAAATAGCTGTTGCACTGCTGAATCCTTGTCCCAGAGCAAACATACATAAAATTAATGCAACATGGCGACACTGGGATTTATGACTAAATTGTAAGGACAGTTTTGTTGTCAATTTTCCAATTTATTATTCAATATACTAAACTTATAACTAGACTGGTTGTGATGAAGTGGGCTACAAAGGAACAATAAGCCCCACTAAAACCAGCCTTTCTGGTTGCAGAGTTGGCCAAGGGGACACAAAAGCAATGATTTGCATGCTTCACCCACTATACTAATAACAGGAATAAACCCTTTATTTTGGGGATATGTTATAAAGTGAGACATGCATATACATTCTGTTTTAGGACAACTCTGCAGTTCTTTGTATTGGTTTAGTAGAGGGTTTTGTGGTTTTCTTTAGCCCACCACAACCCATCAGTTTATGATTCATATGACGTCCTCCCAGAACGTGCCCTCCTGTGGACACAGCTGATCATGTGAGGTGGTAAAAGGCCAATCACAGCGGTCTTTTACCACGTGATCAGCAGTGTCCAATGACACACAGCAGATCACCGGTAAATGCAGTTGTACTGCCGATAACTGGCAATTGTCAGCGGAGGGATTGGTACCGATTATCAGGGCACTGATGATCAGTGCCCTGATGATCAGTGCCCAGCAGTGCCACCCACCAGTGCCGCCCATCTGTGCCCAGCAGTGCCGACTGTCACAATCATGCCCACAGAGAGAGGTGCGGTTCTCCATTTTACCCCAAACTTCTACATTTTGGTATTGCTCTTAAACTCATATGCCATCACCTGAGGGGGGGGGGGGGGTGTAGTATCGTACATACAAGAGCCAGGCACAGGCTCTCACTGTATTAAGAAGTCTTCTGTATCCCCTCATTCCGCCCCTCCCTCAGGAATGCGTTCAGTGTAGCTGTTTAAACAATCCTCTTGCCAAATAAGATAGTGAAGATACCAGTTGATGTGGTGTAGAAAAAGAAGCTGTTATGCTTTGGGTGTAGTCAGAGAAGTGAGGACCGTCTTCGATATAACATCTATCGGACAGAAAGCAAAGGAGAATCTAGCTGCAACAACGAAACCGAGTGTGAGACCAGAAATCTCTTTTTAGCTCATCAGACTTGAAACTGCTTAACCCCCAGCATTTATTTGGCAAGTACTTATTTACCTAAACTTCTTTCTGTTATCTGTTTGCTGTGCTGTAGTGCTCTGTATATTTATATATATATATATATATATATATATATATATATATATATATATATATATATATATATATGTTACATCTTCTTTCTGTAAATATTTTTACTGCACCCTTTTAACCTTTTGGTAATAAATCTTACTTTCTAAAAGTGTTGAACTGTTTCTATAGCTCCTGAATGTAACTTACGAATCCCTGCCGCTGAAAAGCGCTACTATGAGTATTTAACCCTCTGTATAACCAGTCTGTAGAGATAGCGGGATACTGACGGTTAACCAATCACCCTGGTGTATTGCTGAGTTTCCTCTGTATAAAAAGGAGGTGGTGGCAGTGTGAAGGGTTAATTGCGTAATTAACCTGACCCAGTAACAAACGCTCCCAGGCTGCAGGTACATCGATTGTGGTCCAATTAGCTGGAAAATCGTTGTGCAAGGTGCAGCTGGGCGTGGCATTGTTACGCACGTGACATCGTGGTTTTAAAATTGGCTAGTCCTTCGGTCACGAGTTTGGTGAGAAGGTCTGGGGTCTGACGCCGTGCTCGTCACACCAACCAGAAGTGTCCAGCAGTGCCACCCACCTGAGCAATCAGTGCCTCAGTGCCACCCATCTCAGCAGTGCCACCCATCAGTGCCACCCATCAGTGCTGCCTAGCAGTGCCGCCAGTTAGTGAAGAGCAGTGCAGCCAGTCAGTGCCATCAGTCAGTGCCACCCATCAGTGCCACCTATCAGTGCCCATCATTGTTGCATATTAGAGCCAGGTCCAGCTCATCAGTGTCGCCTATCAGTGCCCATCATTGTTGCATATCAATGCCAGCTCATCAGTGCAGCCTATCAGTGCAAGTCAGTGCTACCTATCAGTGCAGCCTCATCAACGTATATCAGTTGAGAAAAATTACCTGTTTGTAAAATTTTATAATAGAAAGAAACATTTTTTTTTTCAAAATGTTTGCTTTTTTTTTTTTTGTTTATAGCGCAAAAAAATAAAACAACCAGCGGCGAGTACATACCACCAAAAGAAAGCTCTATTTGTGTGAAACAAATGATAAAAATTTCATATGGGTGCAGTGCTGCATGACAGTGCAATTGTCAATCAAAGTGTGACAGTGCTGAAAGCTGAAAATTGGCCTGGGCAGGAAGGGGATAATTGAATTCGATATATTCTATATGTGCTGTACACCAAGGATTATGGATGCACAGCTGCCCCACGGGCATAAATAAAATAATCTGAATGGCTCCGTCCACTATCTTAATATTAGGAAAAAACTTCTTATTCTGGGATTTTAACGGAAGTGGGACATTCAGATTCCTTCTGCTTTGCAAAGGCTCTTCCTTGATTAGTTTAGAAGTGCCCAATTCTTTTGAGAAATTTATTGTTTGCTATAGGAAACAGGAACAGGTTTTTTCTCCATTTGAAGCCAGAAAAACATTGTCACCATATTCACCAACAGAGGTGTGCAAGAAAAGGATAGTGTCATCAAAACTAAGACAGGGAGTTGTGTTTAGCCTGAAAACCCACAGTATGCATTCCAGCAAGCCAGAGCTAGCCATGGCTGAGAAAGGGTAAACTGCAAACACTTGCAAGCCCTGAATCATCCAACAGCTGGATAAGTGCACAGGACGAATCATTAGGTTCAGACATAAGTGGACCACTCAGGAGATGGTAAAACATGTTGCTAAGCAACTAGGCACATTTTGGGTCCCATCTCATCCCTAAATATTCAGCAGCTAGGTCATCTGTCTAATTAATATAATGAAAGTGTGTTTTATCCCCATATCCTCCCCTCTGTCTTTTAACTGCATGTAATTTTCCACTGTCCATTGCTTCACTCAATGTGTGTGAAAATGCAGTCCCTGGGAGGAAAACAATAACATAAATGCTGAGTGGGAATTGTGTCTGCTGACAATTGTGACTCATTTGCTTATGAACACAGAATAGGTGCTAGTGGATTTTCAAGTCACAGGGAGAAAATAACACATGCAATTTTCACACACATGATTCAAATCAATAGCTCCCCAAGCAGTGGTGTACCTAGGCTATCAAGTCCCTGAAGCTTATAATCTTTACCCCCACCTGCATCATCAAAATATATAATATGGTGCAATAAGGTGCAGCAAGATAAAGTGCTTAGTGAAAACAAGTATACACCCAGTAATTCATGCAAATACATATTTCCAGCAGCCCTAGAGCTGATTGGCTGAGGTGGAGATCGTAAAGCCTTCTGCTAGCCTCTTCATATCAGCTAATCAGAGGAAGCTTTGTACTCTTTATTACTGATTAAAAAACAACGCTTCTCCTGAATGGAAGAGAAGCATTTAGGCTGAGTAAATTTTGTTCCAGCAAAAGATGAGACATCACCTGTACTGCTGCAGATCACAGAGCTGCATACCAATCTTTAACAAACTCGTGCAGACTCCACCTCCGCAACATCGCCAAAATACGCGCGTTCCTAACCCCAGAAACCACTAAACAGCTCATCCACTCCCTCATCGTATCACGACTCGACTACTGCAACTCCCTCCTCACTGGCCTGCCTCGCCGCTGGCTATCCCCGCTTCAGTCGATCCTGAATACGGCTGCCAGACTCATTCACCTTTCCAACCGCTCCGTTTCCGCCACCCCCCTCTGCCAATCCCTCCACTGGCTTCCGATTGCGCAACGGATCAAATTCAAAATCCTAACATTGACGTACAAAGCTGTTCACCATACTGCCCCGAACTACATCACTGACCTAATATCCAAGTTCCGCCCAGCACGCACACTCCGCTCTTTACAAGACCTCCTTCTCTCTAGTTCCCTGGTCTCCTCCTCCCATGCCCGCCTCCAGGACTTCTCCAGGGTGTCACCCATCCTCTGGAACTCCCTGCCCCAACCCATCAGATTATCACCTACTCTCCTCTCCTTTAGGCGCACCCTGAAAACCCATCTCTTCAGGGAAGCCTACCCCACCCCCTGATAACTTGACCGACCTCCTCCACTCTTCCTACCACTCCATCCCCCACAGCTATTTCCTCCTGTACCACTATCCCCTCCCTCCTAGATTGTAAGCTCCAAAGAGCAGGGCCCTCAATCCCCTCATGTTTTGCATTGTATTGGTATTGTTCTGTCACATGTTCTGTCCCCCTTTGTAATGTACAGCGCTGAGCGAACTATTGGCGCTTTATAAATACTGTATAATAATAATAATACTCTACATAGCTTATGCTACTACATTATGATACAGCAAGCACTGCCAAATCCTTTAGTAATGGAATTGTTTGTTTAGTCCAGCTTGGCCTAAACCAACTATTTTAGGTGACAGGAAACCTGGACATTCAGCTTCAAGGCTTCCCCTGAAGGGATCTATTCTGGTGCACCCGTTAGCAAAAGTCTTAGCTAGTAGGGAAAAGTAGAGAAGGAGGAGAAGAAGCACTCTAAAAGTAGCAATTGGTCTTCACCTAGTGGTCACTGTTGTCTTTGCTGCAGATTGGTATCGGCCCTCAGGATCACCCCACCAAGGCTGGAACAGAAAGGCTATGGTGCGGAGACTGTTTACAGGGCTGCAGACGAGAGTGATCAGGTTACACAAAAGTCTTGGCAGGTGAGCGAGTAGTCAGGTCCAGGCAGATAGCAAGCAAGAAAGTAATCTGGTCCAGGCTAGTGACAGGCAATAAAGTAGTCAGGTAAATTCGGGTCAGTAATACACAGACAAGTATTATAGCTCTGGGGGCACTGGTGATAAGACACATCACCAGTCCTGGAAGACCCAGCAGGTATCCTGTAAAAACTGGAGGCCCTGAGAATCTTAGAAACCCCAGAAAGAACTATGTGAGTATTGAAGGCCTTAGGAATTCTGTAAGTCCTGGAAAGCTAGGTTCACACTTGAGCTGATGGGTGCGGGTTCGGGAATCGCAGCTGTTCCCGCACCCACAACCACTCGCAGCCAAATTGCGCTGCTCTATAGAGACACACAGAGCTGCCATTCATTCTTAATTGCACCCCCACGCATCTCAACTCGCAGCATATTAGGGGGTGTGGGAACCATTCAAATGAATAGGCTGCCATGCCCAAGCAAACTTGCACAAATGTGAACTTAAGGGAAGACCTGGTAGGGATCCTGTGAGTACTATAAACAGCACCATTCGTCAGAAGAACTGCAGACAGATACAAGTAGTGTGTGTTTGGACCGGATTTAGATTTTTGCCTACATATATTGAACACACAATTTTTATTGAGAATGTTCTTAAATATATGTATTTGTATGAATAGCTGGGTTTAATTTGTTTCACTTTCCAGTTTTATTTTGTTGTACCCAGGGATGCACCGAAATTTCGGCAGCCGAAACATATTAGCCGAAAATAGTCATATCGGCATTTTGTCGATAGGAAAATTTTAGCCAATACAGGTGCCTGTATGTATTGCATATGGGGAGGGGGGGCAGTGGAGAATGACAGGAGAGGAGCAGTGTATTTAGTGAGATACCACTAAATGTCACTGCCAGTTTTTAAATGTAATTACCGGCTTTTATTCCCCTTTACTATAGCTCTGAGAATGAGCTGTCATTCTCTCCTCCACGAAAGGAAACTAAGCGGCGGGGTAATGTTACTGAGTGACCCCACCCCTTAGTTTCCCTTAGCAGCAGTGAGAATGACAGCTCCTTCTCAGAGCTATAGTGAAGGGAAAAAAAGAGCCGGTAATTACATTTAAAAACCAGTATTGTTTTTAAATGTAATTACTGGCTTTGTTTTTTTTTTCAGTATAGCTTCGAGGAGCTGTCATTCTCATAGCCGCTAAGGGAACCTAAGGGGTGGGGTCACTCAGTAACATTACCCAGTGACCCCACCCCTTAGTTTCCTTTAGCGGATGGGAGAATGACAGATCATTCTTGGAGCTATAGTGAAGGGAAAAAAAAGCGGGTAGGTACATTTAAAAACCGGCAGTGACATAGGAGCAGCCAGTGAGGGAGCCTGAGTGTACAATCTGCTCCCTCACTGTATACACTGCTCCTCTCCTGCCACCTCCTTGCACACACTGCCCTCCCCCTACAAAGAAGACCTGTCACTCGTATGCTATCACATAGGGGACTATTGGTCCCCTATGTGATAGCAATATCATTATAAGTTAAAAAAATAAATAAAATACACATTTATGTTAAAAAAATAAAAAAAAAACATTTTTGAGCCTCTCCACCACCACATACGCAGACATTTTGGTTTCTATTTTCAGCCACGTGCATTCTGAATTTTCGGTATCAGTTTCAGCACCAGAATTTTATTTTTTTTGTGAACCACTAGTTGTACTATATTGCGCAAAGAAAGCAGATTTATATATTTATGCGCTTGTATATTTGCTTTCGATGTTGTGTAACATTAAAGTACTGGCAAGTGCACAATTTGTAAAGGGAGAGTACAGACATTTCACTGACTATTAAGACTGTCATTCAACTGCAGCACATAATCTTTTCCCATTAGCAGAGTCAGTTGAATCGTTGTTCTGGCTAAAAAACAAATCTAAATATGATACATATGCAATATTTTATATTTATCAGATTAAAAAAATAAGGGCAGGACAGCTGTCAGCAACACATCCAATATCATCACACTGATTGGAGTCAAGGTTGGCTCACTCCTGGCTCCAATTAGCTCTGGGAGAAGTCATTAAGCTAGGGCCTCACATACTTTTTCCTCCCTGCACTGTGAATGTTTATATGTTATGTGCAATTAAACCATGGCAACATCTAATGTTTGTGTAGTATTATGTTCAGCAGACTGTGTTCTTCTATTGTTGTGACTTAGATGACGTTCAGAGCATATTTTATGCCCAATTCATGCAAAACTCCACGTAATCCCAAGGAGTTCACATACTTTTTCTTGCAACTGTATATCAAAGTAATTAAGGTATGTTTTTTTGGTTACCTGAGAAGAGTCAGCCCTGGCAACATCACTGGCAACTTTAAGTGCTTGGCTCAGACGGTGTCCTGACTCATGAATAAGAAGATATCCCAGCAGTAGTGATATATGCGCCGGTACACATGTAGTGAATGGCAGTATTGATGACAAAGAGCACAACCAGTCAAAGGAAGCACTACTATCTTCCTTAAATTTGTTTAACTTGGTCAAAGTAACAGTTATTATATAGTGCCAACTTGATACAGGCAAAGACAGCATCTCTACAGCCTAGGATGAGAAGAAAGAAAAAAGGAAAATGTAAATCCAAGCCTGGGTCTAAAAAATCATGTAATTTTAGAACCTTGTTGTTTTGTCTATATACAGTATAAAATAAAAAGTCAGGTTTGCATGCACATGTTCATACATTGGGTAAATAAAATATCTACAAACAGGCTATTTATTTTGTAAATTTTGTGATAGTGAAATGGAAAAAAAAATGAATTTTTGTTAGCATATGATTGGTTGATTTAAGTGAACACAGCTTTGGGACAGCCTCTATTTCTTCAGTAAATCAGACCCAATGGAGGAGATTTGTTAAAACTGGAGAACTCAGAATCTGGTGCAGCTGTGCATAGTAACCAATCAGCTTCCAAATTCAGGTTGTTCAATTAAGCCTTGATGGTAAAACCTAAAAGCTGGTTTCTATGCAGAGGTGCGCCAGATGTTTCATTTTTCAGTAGATCACCCCCCAATATAATTTGCAAGAGTCTTTACAGGCTGTAAACAGAACATCTTCTCATTGCGGTATATTATGTAAAGAATGTAGACTTGCTCAAGACATTCAGAGCAAAGTAACAGGTTCTCTTGACAGTCCACCCCCTCCACCTACTAATACATTCTCTGTGCTTCCCTGCCACCCCGTTTGCCTGCTGGAGCCCTGTGTTAAATACTTGTGTAAGATCCATGTCAATTAAAAGCCAGCAGCCAAAAATACTGTAGGTTCTGACTTTTAACAAACAGTACTTACCAGCCTATGGAGTTGAACGCAGTCTTCCGCAGAACGGATTCTTCTCCTTACTTCAGATTCCCTGGCACCACTATTTTGGATGTGGGAGCCAGACTTCCTTAAAGCTCACAGCTGGCTCCCAACTGCGCATGCACAAGACTGTGCAGAGCTTTAAGATTAGTACGGCAGCCTCACGTGATATGGGACTTGTCCCAGGAGCAGACTAAACTGACATCATCCTTGTCTAGGTAAGGACTGAGGAAGTGGGAGTGGGTACCTGTCAAAGAAAGGTACCCCCCCAAAACAAAAAACAACCCCCCCAAAAACCCTGCAAATCTGTTGGGGGGTGGAGGGGGGTGGTACTTTCATTTCTGAGTGAAGGTCTGCTTCTACATGACAATGCTTTGTCTGGCCGTTGGGTAATCATACTGAGTAGAGAGTAAGAAGAGAAGGTCAGAGGTTCCCCCAAACCTGGAAGAAGTGCAAGGTATATTTAAGGGCTCTGGACAGAATAGTTCAAGCAACGTCAGCTAGGGGACCGATTTCCGACATGTACACTGATCTATTAGAGAATTTTTATTGAAGTTTCCTGTACGGTCCAGGGCAGGGTGGGAACAGGGCATCGGCCCTATCTTGAAGGAGGTATGGAGGGAGATCCTTCGGTTTCTCCCTTTTGTTTCTCTTTCCCCATTACACAGATTAAAACAGATTTTTATTCTTCATAGGGTGTATAGAACCCCTGAAATTCTTCACACCATAGGTTTGAAATCTGACCCAGCCTGTGCTAGATGTGGTAACCCTGGTTCTCTTATACACCATTTGTGGCGATGCTCCAAACTCCAGAGATATTGGACGGAAGTGGTTGGTACACTTAATGGGCTTCTGGATGTGAATATTCCTGTTGAACTACTTACAGGTTTACTGGGCTACGTAGATTCTTCTATCTACACATCCTCTATGGTGACTAGTATTCTGCGGGCACTTTTTGTGGTCTGTAGACAAATTGACCTTAAGTGGACCTCCCAATATCCTCCTACTTTATCTGACTGGATTTGATCAACAAGCTTATTTCCTTTGAAAACAATACATATTTTTTAAAGAAACTCAGTGAGTAAGTTTGATGCCATTTGGTCAAAATGGCTTGAGTTTATGTCTCCTGTATGGAACTAGGCCTATTTTTTGTTTTAAAGTATTGATGTCTATGTATGGGGAAACATGGTATTTCTTTATTTATAGGCGCTATGTTTTGATGGTCAGTTATAGATTAAGTAATGTTATGGCTGTGGTTGTTATTATGATAGCTGTTTTTTTTTCTTTTTTATATTTTCTTTTTGTGATGCCTTGCGTGGCGAGTATTGTATGTATGAATGTAATTGTTTGTGCCTATTTTTTTAAACAAATGCACATAAATAAAAAAAATTAAGGGCTCCAACAAAGCTTTTAACAAAGACTAGAAAAGGTATAATTTTGGGGAAGAGGATGTACTTAAAATAACCTGTCCCTTTGCCATGAATGGGCAAAGTGCCAGTTTCATCTGGAGGATGGAGGCATTGCTGGTGGAATGTATTTCTATATGTAAGATACTATAAAGAAGAAAAAAAGCATGTACGTGAAGTTAAAGAAGTGATTCTTAGCACAAGATTTTTAAGTGGACATGCTAAGTCATGCACTGGCTGGGTATGATGTCTTAATTGCATTAGGCCAGTGTTTCTCAAAGAACAATCTAAGGACTCTGTCATCACTCAGTGCCAGAGATACTAATGCATCTCTGATTATTATTAAAAAGAGGCCCAGGGTGGCCAGCACGAGTTGAAAGTAGTAAGCCCTGAAGACCACTTTCTTGGCACCTTTGTCACTATGAGTTTTTTCTTGGTGTCTTTATGAGATAAAGAAAAAAAAAACAGAAGTGTGGAATATAAGAAATACAGAAGCAAACAAAAAGAGATAAATCCAGGTAATGTGAAGCCTGATGTGAGGTTATTTTAGGCCATCTACAATGCATACAACTTTACTTGGAAAAAAGTTAGGCTTCTTTCACACAGGTATTCTGTTTTTTTTTTTCATTAGTTCTGTCATGTTTTTTTCAAAGAAAAAACAAACCAGTTCTTCATCAGTTTACATCAGTTTTTACATCAGTTTTTTTTTTACATCCACCAATGCAAAAACCGATGCAAAAATTGACTGTTTGTCCGTTTACATCCGTTTTTCATCTGTTCTGTTTTTTTTTCATGGAACAAAAATAGGACTTTTATCCATTCCAAAAATTGTATGTTGAAGGAAGTGGACTTAAATGGATGATCATCCATTCCATTTTTCCATAGAGATACATTGAAGTTTGTTTTTCATCCATCAAAGGATGGATGAAAAACAGAAAAAAAAGGAATGTCTGTATGAAAGGGGGCTTAAAAGTTGATTGTAGTAGTCATATGCTGGCACTGGAATTGTGACCATAAAGTATAAACCAGTTTGCAGCTGGGAATAGGCACTGTAACCATGGGAATACATGCGGTACCTTCAATATTTTGTGTATTTGTACGTTAACATTTGTGCATGCGCTGGTTAATTTATCATCATTTCAGAGCTGAATATATACAATATATATTACCAGTTTCTCTGTCACCATCTCCCTTTGGTCTACATTTTGTATTCTTTCCAAGATTGTTAGGGCCAGTTGCTGAAAAGAAGATCCTCCATCTTTTACACTGAAGCAGTCTGCCAAGCCTGAAGATGAAACTACCAGCAATACTGGCATGACTAACAGTCGAGCCAGGGGTATCATTTTCTTTTCCGCTGGTGTTTCCAAAATTTTAAGAACTATGAAGAAGTAAATGATAATAATACAACAATTGCCATACAGTAGGTCAAATACAAAAATCAATATGAACACATTAATGATGCAAGCATCCAATAGGCATGGAGTTTGTAAAGCAGTTAACCTTACAAACTCCATGTTTAGTGGTGACTGAAGGCATCTATAATATATAAGTTTAGCGCTTCAATACGGACTAGTACATGGAGTGGTAAAATAAATAACCAGCAGTCGAAAACATTCATATACTAATAATGTGATAGTTCATTGCACCAACAGCAGAATCCTCTGGTGAGCTTGAAATAAAATAAAAATAAATGAAATAAAAATCTTCAGTGAAACAGCTTCTTCAATGATCACAAAATCAATGCTAACACCATGTGCCTCCACCAAGAATCACTCAAAGGATTAGCAGAGTGTATGTGACCCTCATGAGAGAAGTCACACAGCACTTGCTATGTTGAATGTTCCCCAGCTCAGCAGCCCATGGAATGGTCTTTCGCCTCAGAGCGGTTCTTCTTACAGTACTCTCAAGATCCAGACATCAACCATGCAAGGGATTCTCAGAAGTACAGGGACTTCTGGGACTCTAGGTCAAGCTTAGCGCTGGGCAGGGAGGGCATGGCCACCCGAGCCAGCGAAGGAAATGTGGAGAGGCGCTTTGGTAAGTCCCAGTGCTCTGCTCTGGACACACTGACAGTTTCATGAGGGTCACATACACTCTGGTAAGCCTCAGAGTGATTCTTGGTGGAGGATACGTGGTGTTAGCACTGAAATGCTTATCAGTGAAGAAGCTGTTCCACTGAAAAAAAAATGTTATATTTAATTTATTTTTATTTTATTTAAAGCACTTTGCTCACCAGAGGATTCTGCTGTTGGTGCAATGAACATTTTTTGAATATTATTGTTTTAGATTGCTGGTTATTTATTTACCACTTCATGCACTAGTCAGTATTGAAGCGCTGCACTTATATACTATAGTTTATTTAATATAGTGTATCCTATACTGTGTGCCAATTGATATTTATATAGTTTCCTTTTATTTCACAGAATGTTTTGGATTTTATTTCAGGCTGCAGGCATGTGTTTTGCTCCTGTGTAGGTTTTCTCTGCTCCTCTTATTTTTAACCCGCTCACAAAAAATAGTAGGTTTGAGCTCCATTAAACAGTGTTAGAATGGACACAGAAGTCATATCATATACACATAAGATTCCAGCTGCTATCTTTACAGTGTGGGCTACAAAATTAAATTACATATCTAAATTATATATCTAATTGTTACACACAATGCACTATGCAATATAACAACACTATAGGAGCATAACAGGAGACACAGGTCATGCTCAATACATTTTACAATATACTACTAGTACTAGGAGTGACGCAAAAGGTTTGTAATATGTTGAGAGGGAACGATCTAACATTACATTTTCATTAACTTAGCAATAGATCAGAAAATATATGATAGCCATGAATGAACCTGGCTAGCAGCTGGTATGAAGGTGAACACAGTTAAAGTGAAATTTTGAAAATAAAAATATGGGAGCTGCCACTGCTAACCTGATTTCAAAGGTAAAGGGTTTGGGACTATCATTCCTAATTTGATGTCAACACGATGAAATCAATGACCTTAGAAAAGTATGCAGCCAGTGAAGCCTAAATAGTCTGGAACCTACTTTGCATGTTTGGTTAAGGTTGGTGACTGATTAGGTAGTGAAGTTGAGATCAGGGTGACAGCCATGACACCCTTTAAAAGCAATTAATCAGTGGAAGCTCCCACAGTTTGCCTTTAGAGGTTCACTTTAAAGCTAAACTCTGGGAATTATTTGTATTGCATACCTACATTGATCAAGCATGGCACAATGTAAGCATGCATTATACATACCTGATAGTCTGCTGGGGAACTTGTAAATCACTGTAGTAATCTGGGATACTACAGTGATAGCTGTAATCTTTAGGGTCCTGTTCATGTTTTATGCGAGTGACTGCCCCACTGCATACTGACCATATGGGGTCATTTGCTAGGCACTGACATTTAAAAACACCTTCTGTTTTTTTTTAAATAAAAACCAGGTGTTCTCTGAGTGGACGAGATGGAGAGGAGGGCTATCAGGTATGAGTAATGCATACTTACATTTCGTCAAACTGGACCAATGTAGGTATGCAATAAAAATAACATCCTGAAGGAGATATCACTAAAGGATCTTGAAGAGGTGAAATAGGTACACAGAAGAAGCAAACAAGCACTAGAAAAAAATGTATGAACAGATATTACAGGTTACAGAAACCAAAAAACTGGCAAATAAGGCTGTTGTAGACCTCTCTGGTTATATCAACTCTAGTGGGCTTTTGCTACCATCAGAAATGCATCTCTCCATACAAGTCAACATATGAGCAGTTTGAAGCAGCCTGATGAAGGTCAGATGCAGGTCTGAAGGTGATGAACTGCAGGTCAACTGCAACAAACTCTCAGATATCATAAATGTCTAAAGTTGATATCAAATACAAGCAGAATGCACCTAAAACAAATAGTTTTGCCCATTGTTAAAAAGCAAAACCTGTAGACACAGGTCCTTATGTGTATATATGCTGCCAAAGTATTACTCCAGCTAAAATGTATTTCTTTCAGGTGCAATGGAAAACAGTTTTAACAGTGGTCAGCAGTATCCATCACCACTGGGGAAATGTGCCCTTATTTCCTGTTCCAAAGACAAGATGGAAAGCAAAAATCTCCCTAACGCTATGAAAAATCCCATCTTTGATAATTGTCACAGGGGTCTGCATTGATTGAATTTCACACTTCTCCAGATCTATTTAGGACAGTAACCTTTTGGATTTCCTATCACTTTCTTTATTGGTGATCCCTGTAACAGGGACAAGAAATGAGGGGAATCTGCCCAATGAGGACACAATAAAAACTTGACATAGGCTGTAACTCATTATCACTGTATTCAAAAACAAAAGTTTGGCTAAATTTGCAGTTCAATAAGAAAACACAACCCATCTGAAAGAATCCTACCTAGTTTCATCATCTGTCTTTGCTGACTGGCAGGTGCCTGTAGTAAAAGCAGACTGAGCCCGACTAAAGTCTGCTCTAATGGAAAACTCTGGAAAAGAAATCAAAGGCAACATATGATACAATATATTACATAAGCCAAAAGTTGATATTGCAATCTCTATAGTAGTGAAACACACACTTCAATTACAAAATTCTAAGAGTGGCAGATATATAGAAAATGAATAAAATGATTTTGACTTACTTCTTTCAGCACGTCCAAGTTTTGCTCAAGCATGTGTATGAGAGTGGAGCAGTCTCCTGTGATTTTCAAACTGACATCACATGCACACAGGATTTGAAGCGATAGCAGACAGAGCTCTTTTTTAAAGAAATCAGAATGTAGATGGAAGCTGGCACAAACATCCTTCATATACATGGTCACTTCTGTGATCTGGGTCCAGTTTGCAAGCTGTGTAACAGAAAGCATTGATTTGATGCAAGTTATATGAAACGTGTATTTTTCTGCTAACATATGTATAACGAATAAATAAGAGCTCTGGCCCAGGTTAAAAGATACAATAAACCTCACATAATATAAATCAAAAGTGCAGCGCTAATCAATAACAAGTGATCAGTGAAAATTAGAAAAAGTTAAAAAAAAAAAACGTAAAGTGATTCTAAAGGCTTGATTTTTTTTTAAATAACAAACAGGTCTATACTTATCTGTTGTTTGGCACAGAGCAGACCCGATCCTCCTCTTCTCGGATCCCCTTCCGGCACTCCTGGCCCCTCCCTCCTGTTGGGTGCCCCCACAGCAAGTTGCTTGCTATGGGGGTAACCCAAGCTGCTGCCCTGTGTGTCCATTCAAACATGGAGCAGCAGCTGGGCCCTGCCCTCTCTCTTTTCTCATTGGCTCACTGGCTGTGAATGACAGCAGCAGGAGCCAATGAGGAGAGGGAGTCTCGTGACAGCTGAGACTGCAGTGCACATTGCTGGATCGAGAGGAGACTTAGGTAAGTATTGGGGGGGGGGGAATGCTACACAGAGAGAAGGTTTACAGCCTTTACAACCGCTTCAAAGTTCAACATAAAAATGCTCCAATATTGCAAAGCATCCACAGAAATGTGTAAATAGTGCTTCCAGAAATCTAAAAAGAGAAAAGTGCCCAATAGTCTAATACCACTGAAGGGAAAAACACCTCAGAGTCCTGGTGGTAATAAAAATACATGAGGGTGCTTACTGGAACTATTTGGCTTTCAAATTAATGAAAAGGCCAGCAGCACTTTGGGGGTTAACCCCAAACTGATCCATGGCAGATGAAGGAACACTCTGACCCTGGGCCCTGCTCCACTCCACTCCCAAGCAACACGGGCATGTAAAACACAAGAACTCATGGTGCAGTATATCATTATATAGAAGATTCATTAAAAAAACAAAACAATATTGCACTCACATTTGATTAAAAGAAGACAGGCATTGTACGCTCTAAGCTGAAGCAATCACAAAAATGGCAATGCACTCCTTCCGGCCAGCGGACGTGCTGACGTCACATTAAGCCTAAGGGCTTGTTCACACTTGGCTCTTTTACCAACACTTGCCAAACGCCCCTACAGCATTTGGCAAGCGTTGGTCCGGCGTTTACGGAGCGTTTTTTAATGTTCCGCAAACGCCGCATGCGCGGTTTAGCAGCGGTTGCTAGGCATTTGCCGAGCGTTAACAACGCCCCACAAACGCCTATAATGCAGTTTGAATGGTGTTACCGCTCCGCAAACGCCCTGCAACCGCACCGCAAACGCCGGCCGGGCATTTGCGGAGCGGCACCATAGACTAGAATAGGAGGCTTCAACGCCTCCTGACTCGACCAGAGGCGTCCGTTTTGCCGCGACGCAAACGCTCCCGTTAGAACAGCACCATGTGCTGTAATGTGCAGAATTGGCAGAGGCATTTGGGAAGCAGTAAAAACGCTTCCCAAACGCCTCTCTGCTGTCTGCACACGCTAGTGTGAACGTAGCCTAAGAGAGTACGATGCCTGTCTTCTTTTATTCAAATATGAGTGCAATATTGTTTTTTGTAAATAAATCTTCTATATAAGGATATACTGCATTATGCGTTTGTGTGTTTTATATGCCCATGTTGCTTCAGAGTGGAGTGGAGTGGAGCGGAAATCAGGGTCAGAGCATTCTTTCATCTGCCACAAATCATTTTTGGAATATTTTTCCAGTTTAAATACATACTTTTCTACGTGATTCAAAATAATAAACACAAATACATTGGCACATCACTACTTCTTGACATTTCATATATGGTTAATAAGACCACCAAAGTAGTGATGGGGCTCTCTAGGGGTTTGTGTCTTCAAATCCCCCATCTGCATGATCTATGTTTTGAATACCTTTGACACAAACTGTCAAAGGTATTCAAAAGTATTCTGAAACAGTGTATAATACCGGAGCCATTAGTGTCAGCCATTGTAGCTGATGCTTTTGTTTAAAAAGTATTAACATTACCATTTGTTTGTACTAAAACACTCTGGGTGATATAGATATTCTCATGAATGTGTAAGGCGCACTAACACACTTTATAAAAACTGCACATTTTATCCACAGATCCTACATGCATATCCCACCATGACTTTGAAAGATATACTGTATATTACCCTCTTCACCCATCCTTCTCACCTTTACAATTATCCCTTTCTACATCAAAGTTGGATTGCTTTTTAATCTTCTTTATCAAGCAAGCTGAATTGCGGATAAAATGTAAAACTTAAAGGGACATATTATTAAAACATTAAATCAGACATTCTCCAAACATTCACTGCAGGTGAATCTTTCTAGACATATTTCAGCTCTTTGGGTTTGTCTAATACACTGAAAGTCTGAGCTCACAGCTTCAGTTTTGCTCAATAGACTCTGGGCCTTTATGTAAAGTGATCTGGGCAGCTATAGAGCCACCCAATCACTTTATGTGCTTGTGGTGTGCTGCACCACCTTTGCTGTACTAGAGATGAGCGAATCGAACTTGGCGAAGTGGAATTCGTTTCGAATATTAGAAAAAAATTTGCGCCGAATCCGAAAATTAGCAGACTTCGGATGCGCGAATCGAAATTTTTCCAAAAATGGTGGCGACATGTGTGGCGACGGAGCGGGGATCTCTGGGAAGGCGCGCTGACCCATAATGCATTCATTCATGACATGTGATCGCATTAGCCAATCAGCAGCCAGCCAGCCAGCACTGTGTAATGGTGGAGCTATAAATTGCGGCCATCTTACAATTCTCCATTTGCCTCCGGTCATTCAAGAGAGACAGACCTCTCTGTATTAGGGACAGAGTTAGGGCCACAGATACTTTAGGGACACAGAATCGTTACTTAGGGACACAGAATTGTTACTCAGGGACACAGAACTGTTACTCAGGGACAGACACAGAATTGTTACTGAGGGACACAGAACTGTTACTCAGGGACACAGAACTGTTACTCAGGGACACAGAACTGTTACTCAGGGACACAGAATTGTTACTCAGGGACAGACACAGAATTGTTACTGAGGGACACAGAATTGTTACTGAGGGACACAGAATTGTTACTGAGGGACACAGAATTGTTACTCAGGGACAAACACAGAATTGTTACTGAGGGACACAGAATTGTTACTGAGGGACACAGAATTGTTACTGAGGGACACAGAATTGTTACTCAGGGACACAGGGACACAGAACTGTTACTCAGGGACACAGAATTGTTACTCAGGGACAGACACAGAATTGTTACTGAGGGACACCGAATTGTTACTGAGGGACACAGAATTGTTACTCAGGGACACAGAATTGTTACTGAGGGACACAGAATTGTTACTCAGGGACAGACACAGAATTGTTACTGAGGGACACAGAATTGTTACTGAGGGACACAGAATTGTTACTGAGGGACACAGAATTGTTACTCAGGGACACAGAACTGTTACTCAGGGACACAGAACTGTTACTCAGGGACACAGAACTGTTACTCAGGGACACAGAATTGTTTACTCAGGGACAGACACAGAATTGTTACTGAGGGACACAGAATTGTTACTCAGGGACAGACACAGAATTGTTACTGAGGGACACAGAATTGTTACTCAGGGACACAGAATTGTTACTGAGGGACACAGAATTGTTACTCAGACAGGGACACAGAATTGTTACTCAGGGACAGACACAGAATTGTTACTGAGGGACACAGAATTGTTACTGAGGGACACAGAAATTGTTACTCAGGGACAGACACAGAATTGTTACTGAGGGACACAGAATTGTTACTCAGGGACACAGAATTGTTACTGAGGGACACAGAATTGTTACTGAGGGACACAGAATTGTTACTCAGGGACAGACACAGAATTGTTACTGAGGGACACAGAATTGTTACTGAGGGACACAGAATTGTTACTGAGGGACACAGAATTGTTACTCAGGGACAGACACAGAATTGTTACTGAGGGACACAGAATTGTTACTGAGGGACACAGAATTGTTACTGAGGGACACAGAATTGTTACTCAGGGACACAGAATTGTTACTCAGGGACAGACACAGAATTGTTACTGAGGGACACAGAATTGTTACTGAGGGACACAGAATTGTTACTCAGGGACACAGAATTGTTACTCAGGGACACAGAATCGTTACTCTCAGGGACACAGAATCGTTACTCAGGGACACAGAATCGTTGAATTAAAGAGTATGTCAGACAACACGCAGAGGAGTGTCAGAGGAGGCCATGTTTTAGGAGCGAGCAGACGTGGCAGCAGAGGAAGGGGTCGAGGCAGCACTAGTCGCAGCCAGAGGCCAGTGCTCCCGGTGTCATCCAGCGGTCGTGTCTCCACCGACAACCCTGCCGTCATCGATTGGTTGGCTCGGTCGTGTTCCTCTTCCCAGGTCACCTCTGACACCTACAGCCAACGGTCGGTGGGTACGTCAGACACAACCGTTAGTTGGCATGGCCCGAGAGCAAGCCCACTGAAATCACGTGTCCTCTACCTGCCCCTGTCCTTTGGTGTTCCCTCACCA